AACTAGGAATAATAAGATATAGAGAAATATAATAGTTACTAAAGATAGCTAGTTGGAAAGCATAAACTAGGTGATATATGTGTGAAGCATAGACTGCTTTAATAGATTTAGATTATAGATAAATTAGTCTAAGTCTCTGTTGTCTATAAGTTAATGTATATGAAATCATCTAATTTATGAAGTATATATTAATAAAAACCAGAAATATGACTTACCTTAATATATATAAAAAAAAGATCAAGTATTTTTATAATAATTTTTTAGACAAATTTGTTTGAAAAAAGCTTATAGTTTAAGGAATAGTATATTATATGAAATCTTTGCTAGGAAAACCACCCTCTAACATTTTCCGATCAGGCAAATTCAAAATATTTTAAACCAATATACTGGTACTTATTTATATATAAATTATTTTCTGCCCTTATTGATTCAATAGCTTATTGAATAAACATTTAAATCAATAAAGGCAAAATTTATATACATGCAAAATAAGTACCAGTATATTGGTTTGAATTTGTGATTTTTTAGCAAAGATCTCATATAACTAACCAGAATTAATAAAAAACATTTATTTATTTATTTATTTAATTTTTATATACTGTATTATAAGATATACTGTAAATCTAAAAAATATCTGATATTTTTTTAATAGTTTAATCAATGCTTAAAATTCAAACTTTATTTTATGCTTTTAACAAATCAAAATTTAATTTTTAATATTCTTAAAAATTTTTAATATTCTCTATATAAGAAAATTAAAACTTTTTAATATTAAAAAAACTTATCAAATAGGCTAGATACTGCAAAAATAAGAAAATTGACAAATTAATTTTTTTTATATAAATTAATTTAAAATTATTTTTCACTTAAAACGCAAAAGTAGTTGTAGTAATAAAATTTTGAGCATAACTCTTAAAAAATTTGTAATTTCTTATAATTTATTATAAAATTTATAATATACAAATTGCTTTTCACCTTAAGATTCAAAAAAAAAAAAAAAAAAAACAAATTGCTTTTCTGCCTCACCGTAAAAATTAAAAAAAAACATTGATTTTCTGAAGATCTTTTGTTTTGTTGATTTCCCCTTTTGTTTATAAAAATTTTTTTATTTTCTGAACACCAAATTATAAGAATTGGTTATGGTGAGCAACAATTAATTAACCATCTTTTTTACTCTATCATTAGATGTTTTTACAAAAAAATAAATTGATATAATGATTAATCCAATTATGAATTATAGAAGTTTGTATCGAGTGCATTTTCTAAGTTGGTTGCTACATAATTTCATCTCGTTTATGAAAAATAATTTTAACGAAAAATGGAAAAAAATCGACACTTTAATTAAATTACAATACACATCAATTTTGTATATACAGTCATACCTCTCTCTAAAAACGGTTATAAAGGTATGGCTGTATATATAAATCTATTTGTTTTATTTATTTTATTTATTATTATTTTTTTTTATGTGACAGTAATTTCAATAATGAAACCGAACAATCATGAAATATTTACTATTTATTTATCTGTGTAATACTTAGCAGGGTCAAAATGTTCTGATTCTCTTTGATCATTTGCAGTCCATGGAGTTATTGACCGATTTGGTGTCACTAAAAGTCCTGAAAAGTTTTTTGTAGCTACCGATGAAACAGAAGGATGTTGTGGTAAAGTTGGAGAGTCAATAATATCCAAACATTTTGAAGATAAACTGCTATCAGATTCATAAATTTTATCAGTGCTATCATCCCAACCAAATATTGACACGGACGTATCGGTGCTTGAGCTAACTATATTGGAGGTCTTTGGCGGACTATATGACGAAAGTTGAGATTTTGTAGGCAACAATGAATCATTCTGCGGTTCAGATTGCGTTAGATCTTGTTTGGGAATCATTTTATTTCTGGAGTGAGTCGCCTTTAATTCAGTGAGTTCAGGCGGTTTTTTGCGATTGGTTGATAATTGGGCATCCATTGGAATTGGTGGTAAAGCAGTTGTTGGAGGAGGTTTCATTCCGCCGGCCAGTGAAGAAAGTTCCAATAAAACGCTGTCGAAGCCCCGGTTTGGCAAAACTTGTGGGTCAATATGATGTTCTAGAAAGTTATTTTTCGGTTCGTATTCAGAATTAGAATTATTATTACTATTGTATTTCTGGGCTTCTTCATTTCTTTCTTTGGCATGTTTTATTCGACGATAGTAAATACAAGACCCGATTCCAATTATTATTACGAGAATAATCACAACAATTGTCACTAGAATTCCCAGTGTATGATTAAGAGGTTGCGATTTTTCAGACACATCGGCTAAAGCTGAAGTAGAAGGCTGAGCGGCCAGGTATGTGGGAGTAATGACAGGTAATTCTAATGACGCCGCTAAATCTCTTATTAATAAAGAATTTTTATCAAATTTATTTTTATGATTATACATTATAACTATTGTCTTTTAAAGTGCTATGGCACTTTCGATCTATTTTGAATGAGATTATTTATTAGCAACTTGATTATTATTTTGTAATTCATTGAATGAATTCTAAAAAAAAGGAAGTTACTTGAATTAATAAAGAATATGAATAAAAACAGAAAGACATCCAATCTTTTTTAAAGTGGTCTTGAATCGGGGTAAGATATCGTTAACAAAATTTCAACTGAGATACCGTTAACAAAAATTCAGCTGAGGCATTTATTCGAAGGTCAGATGTGGATGTTGACAACAGAGAGAAATAAAAAAAAAATAGATTTTCCTTTTTTTTTTGACCTGCAAAAAAAAAAAAAAAACAAAAGCTCATGCCTTTTAGGAAAGCTAAAAGAAACTTGAAATATACTAAATTTTAATTTATTGTTTTGATTTCGAGCGGCGGGAACGACGATTTCTACATATTACATTAGAAACACAACGAAAATCCACTTCGGGCTAATTATCTTTTATAGTATAGCTCGGATAATCAAATAATCCCTATGGCTAGGCGATTAAATAGTGAAGTCACAAATAATATATAAATATTAATATAAA